GTTATAATTGTGACTAGGTTATGTGCGCTATAAAAAATGGCTTAGCACTGCCCGCCATTCAGTAGCTCTGAAAAGAAATCCTGTAGGGTAATGTGATCACAGGAGACAGACGCAAATAATGTCGCGACCAGCGGTGAAGTCGTCTACCGGCGAGACAATTGGTGACTTGGTGACCCGGTCGCCGATATTCGAGATGGAAATCAGTCCAGCTTTTTTTCGGCGCTCACTGTGTCGAAGTTTGGTATTGCATGAGTTAAATTTATATTATTTCCTTACTATGTGGGACAGAACTCCTCTTTACGTCAGTGAAACTTGGTCAAATTATTCGCACCAGAAAAAAAAAAAAACGGTTAGGAAGTCGCTGAGTCGTTGGCGGCTAGACGTCGGCCTGAGGATCGGAAGGTCGTGGGTTCGCGTCCTGACGGAGCCTGATTTTTTTAAAAATAATCCTGACTCCCAGGTCAACCCAGCCTTGAATGGGTACCAGGTGCAGTCCTGGGAAGTAAAAGCTGACCACATAACCCACCAAGGGCCGATTGGTCTAAAACAATATAGGTCTAAAAAATAAAAAATTAAACGGTTAAATAGCTTTCACATGCGATGTCTTTAGAAGATTACTTGGCATTAAATAGTAAGACAAGATCACAAGCATAGAGGTATTAGATTTTTCTTCTTAAAATCCATGCCGTGTGGCGTTGGCAGTAACGTCTATCCACAACCTTCTGTCTCGTGTACTTTCAATCAACTATGACACCGATGATCCTCCATGACATGATGTCAAACTGTCTAGCATCTGTTCTTTCGGTCTCCCTCTGCCTCTTTTCCTTTTCAACTTTCCTACTGTCACGATGTATTCCGTTTGTCTCCTTCTCACCACATGACCAAAGAATGTAGACTGTCTCTTTCTGATGTGGGCAATCAGTTCTCTTTGTGAGTCAGTTATAAGATATCGGATTACTGATTACTGATTTAGGAATCGACATCACAACACACCGGGTATACACATAGATGCTCCGTCTCCCGCAGCAAATATCTTAGTGTGTAGATGTTTGTTCCCGTAGCATATTGATTATACACATTTAGTTCTCTTTCTCCTCCCTCTTTTTTCGTATCAACTAATAATTCCTCGTCCAAACATTCTTGCATTTGTTATTTCATCTAATATCGCGTCTTCTGTCAACATTTGTTTACATATGGTCTTCAGAACAGCTTCCTTCCAGGCACGAGTGTTTCTGTAGCTGTCGATTTTGTAGCCAGAAAATCCGCTCTTTCCTTCTCTCGCACACCTGAATATCGCGGACAGTATATCCACTATCATTTTCATGTCCTTTTTAGGATGGATTTTTCGTTATTTGAAGCCCTACTCTGGCCATTGCCAGGGGCCGCAATATAGCCTGGCCATAAATATGGCCTAAAGGCTGAACACGGTTTCTAGGACCTCTCCACGGTGATCCTCCCCCACATGGTGGCACATTGTGTCATCGGGTGTTTATCGCTTGTGTGATGTCCTGGTGGGGTAGAAAGTCAGTCAGTCAGTCAATATATCTACTGACGTATTGAAAACAGCAGGTATCAGAAGTTTTCTGAGTGTGTCCGAAGGCTCAAGTGGCTAGGCCAACTTTGGAGAATAAAGGATAGCAGAGTCCCTAAGTATATCCTATATAGTTTGGGAGCCGCGTTAGTGGAGTCGATAGGGAGCTGCTTTTAAATCCAGCTACGATTTGGTGCAGCCCATGGCCGCTGTTCGAAACCAGGCGGTTCCCGGGGTTCAACCAGCTTCTAGGTAATGGGTACCAGAGTTACCACTCTAGGGTGAATTGACGAACGTTGCTGTAGCTACGGGGTTACGTGCGGACGGCGACACAGGCGGACAGTTCATTATCAGCTGTCCGTATTGGTGGCAGAGCCTTGTGCAATGACGCTGGATCAATCTCCCGATATTTTTTTAATTTTTAATTTTTATGTATAGTGAATTAAAGGGAGAGATCTCTGGGACGGGCACTTCTGTTCGTTTCGTATAAATTACATTTCATTGTGATACTACACCATCGTCTGGAATGCGAAGAGGTGCCAAGCAAACTGTGGGGTAAGACAAACATGTATACATACCTTCTTCACACGACGCTCCCGTATAGCCGGGATTACAGATACACCGCGAGTTGGCCGCATCGCAAGTTCCAGTCGATGAGCAGGGAACAGGGCAATACGCTGGAACAAAGAGGACATTGTCAATTATGGTCCCTACTAGGGTATCCCGGAAGGGGAGGGTCTTTGAATTAAAGGAATTAGAGCCGCATTACTAGAGCAGTCCCCACAGACTTTGCAGGTTGGGATTTTACTTTTTCCTTGACATAAAAAACTCACAGCCTAACTTAGGATTCGAACCTGAAACTCCCTATGTGAGTCCAACTTTCTTAGCCGTTCGGCTAGCCGCTCCTCAGCGAGAACATTTTCCTTCTCCTCCTCCGCCGCCTCCTCCTCCTTTTCCCTTTACTTCTTCTTCTTTGTTTCTTTCTTTCTTTGCTTGTTTCTTCTTCTTCTTCTTTATCTTCTTTTTCTTCTTTATCTTATTCTTCTTCATCATCATCATCATCATCATCATCATCTTCTTCTTCTTCTTCTTCTTCTTCTTCTTCTTTTTCTTCTTCTTCTTCTTCTTCCTCTTCTTCTTCTTCTTCTTTTTCTTCTCCTTTTTCTTCTTCTTCTTTTTCTTCTTCTTCTTCTTCTTCTTCTTCTCCTTCTTCTTCTTCCTCCTCTTCTTCCTCTTTCTTTCTTACTTTCTTTGTTTCTTCTTCTTCTTCTTCTTCTTCTTCTTCTTCTTCTTCTTCTTCTTCTTCTTCTTCTTCTTCTTCTTCTTCTTCTTCTTCTTCTTCTTCTTCTTCTTCTTCTTCTTCTTCTTCTTCTTCCTCCTCTTCTTCTTCCTCTTTCTTTCTTTCTTTCTTTCTTTCTTTCTTCTTCTTCTTCTTCTTCTTCTTCTTCTTCTTCTTCTTCTTCTTCTTCTTCTTCTTCTTCTTCTTCTTCTTCTTCCTCCTCTTCTTCTTCCTCTTTCTTTCTTTCTTTCTTTCTTTGTTTCTTCTTCTTCTTCTTCTTCTTCTTCTTCTTCTTCTTCTTCTTCTTCTTCTTCTTCTTCTTCTTCTTCTTCTTCTTCTTCTTCTTCTTCTTCTTCTTCTTCTCTTCTTTCTTTCTTTCTTTCTTTCTTTCTTTCTTTCTTTCTTTCTTTCTTTCTTTCTTTCTTCTTTCTTTCTTTCTTTCTTTCTTTTCTTTCTTTCTTTCTTTCTTTTTTTTTTTTTCTTTCTTTCTTTCTTTCTTTCTTTCTTTCTTTTCTTTCTTTTCTTCTTTCTTTCTTTCTTTCTTCTTCTTCTTCTTTGTTTGTTTGGTTCTTTCTTTGTTTCTTCTTCTTTTTCTTCTTCTTCTTCTTCTTCTTCTTCTTCTTCTTCTTCTTCTTCTTCTTCTTCTTCTTCTTCTTCTTCTTCTTCTTCTTCTTCTTCTTCTTCTTCTTCTTCTTCTCCTTCCCTCCTCGTCCTCCTTCTTTTACCACTTCTGGTGTCAAAGAAGACATGCATGTCTTCTTCTGGCTTTTCTGGCTACCTCAAGAAACAGACACATCGTGCTGGTGTAGAGTTCCTCTGATGTTATCCTTCCATCTTAGTCTACCTCGTGATCTTAGTCCATCTCCTCTTGTGTGTATGCTCTGTATGGTATTGCGCCACTAAACATTGTCTCTAAGACGGCAAACCATTTAGTTTGCTGTACTTCTATGCACTTTATAAACCAGGGTAATCTGGCCGACGCTCAACAAGGAAAGGGCGAGACGGATATACAATCAGATAGTTACTGGTGCCATCAGAATTAATTAGAACTCTTCGTTTGCTGCTGAAGATAGGGGCGGAGCGCTTATGGGGGTGTCTCGAGTGCCATGATGCCGATTCTTATTTCAAAATTCAACATATGCAATTTATAATTGGTTCTGTGTGGACTTTTTCTCTTATAAGCTAATTTCCGATTTGTACCTCTTCTGGTCGCGCCCTGCATCCTTTCTCAGACATTTCATTTGCATGGTTACTGATTTTCTTTTCTGGTTTATTGTTAGGGACCATGTCTGGCACTGGTAGCATGGGATGGGAATGTATATGCTTTTTACGAGATGTTTCTTTGTGCTGATTGGGACTGTCGTGTGTGCGTGTTTGTGCGTGTGTGTGTGTGCAAAGAGAAAAAAAAGGGGTGGGGGGGGGGGGCTAGCTATCGTAATATTTAGTTTGGTTTACTTCTTACGAATAATGAAGGAGAACACTGCAAAAGAACATATTTTTATAGAAGTGAGAAGAATGGGTGAGATTGTAATATAAGTGTGATAAGATTTATATGGATGAGTGAGTGAGTGAGTGAGTGAGTGAGTGAGTGAGTGAGTGAGTGAGTGAGTGAGTGAGTGAGTGAGTGAGTGAGTGAGTGAGTAAGGGAGTGAGTGAGAAGAATGGGTGAGATTGTAATATAAGTGTGATAAGATTTATATGGATGATTAAGTGAGTGAGTGAGTGAGTGAGTGAGTGAGAAGAATGGGTGAGATTGTAATATAAGTGTGATAAGATTTATATGGACGATTGAGTGAGTGAGTGAGACAGGGAGTCGGTGAGTGAGTGAGGGAGTCGGTGGGTGAATTAAGCAGTGAGTGAGGGATGGATGAAATGAGTAAATGTATGAGTGAGTGAGCGATGGTGAGTAAGTGACTGAGTTGGTGTGTGCGTAAGTGAGGGAAGGATGGAAGGAGTGTGAATGAGGGGTAGGTGAGTGAGTGAGTTGGTGAGTAAGTCAATGAGAGAGTGAGTGAGATAGGGAAGAAGTAAGTGAGTGAGTGAGTGAGTGAGTAAGTGAGTGAGTAAGTGAGTGAGGTTGGGAATAAGTAAGTGAGTAAATGAATGAAGCATGTGCGAGCGAGTACATCAGTTAAAAAAGCGATGAGCTATCCAGACAAACAGTAAAGAGAAGTAATCAATTATACTCACGGCACTTGTACTGGTGGGCATAGACACAGTTCTTCAGATTTGGTTCGTAGACAAGGGTTGCAGGGCAGTTCTCTTTATAAGGAGTACCGTAGAGACATTTATAGAATATTGTACAGTCCCTGTCGTCCGCTACGTGGTAGTCTTCTCCGGGTTGGAGATTGCAGTCTCTCACAGGTACGCCAGTTACTTCAACTAAAATCCGAAAACATCTTTGTTACCATTATTTCATAAAGTCAGTGCTGTAGTCGTAAAAAAGTATTTACAAAAAGAAGTTCTTTCTTCTTCTTCTTCTTCTTCTTCTTCTTCTTCTTCTTCTTCTTCTTCTTCTTCTTCTTCTTCTTCTTCTTCTTCGCGTTTACTAGCTGTAAACTCTGGCGCAAAGTTTTGGTTGTTCATTCACTTCTGGACTGCAGTCGTGTTCCAGAACCTGAGTGTTGTGTGTGCATCCGTTTTAGATATCTGACTCATTTTTATACAGAATGCCGGTTCCTTGCCTCAGGCAGATGCACTCCGACTTCGAAAGAAGCTCTCAATTAGTCGACTCTTACGACATGCTTTTGGGTAGGCAGTGGGTCTACCCCCCCCCCCTCCCCCATATATTCCTTTTACCTATAGTTTTCATGAAAGTGAACTCGGTGGCTCTTACAATTTTCCACAGACGACTTTTTGAAATGTCAATACTGCAATGTGATTACAATGTTAATTTCAGTTTCCAGAGAGTAACAAATTTAGTTTTCGATAAAATTGCTTGCGTTGTTGAACGAACTATAGAAGGGCTAACATTTACAAATAATAATGTGCAGTCAAAAAACGAATTCATCATTTTGATGCCAACTCTTGGAAAGAGGTGGGGGATTTCTAAGGGGGGAGGGGGGGGGGCAGCGTGTTTACACAAAGTAGTTTTCGAAAGTTGAACAAAATAAATAAATTCGGACGTCACTAAATTAGATTACCAGGGCAATTAAATAACACCATGTGCGAGACACACAGACTTCCACACAGACAGACAGAGAGACAGACAGATAAACAGAGAGATAGAGAGAGACAGAGAGAGAAAGACATACAGACAGGCAGAGAGAGATAGAGATACAGGCAAACAAACAGATAGACAGACAGACAAACATACAGACAGACAGTCTGATGGACGGACGGACAGACAGACCGACGGAAAGTCAGAGAGAGAGAGAGAGAAAGAGAGAGAGAGAGAGAGAGAGAGAAGAGAGATACAGACAGAATAAAGAAAGATAATTATCAATACGTAGGTTTGATCACATTAAATTCGATGACATTAGATTAAAATAGATTAAATAGATTTGCATGCAAAGAGATTAAATCGTATGTATTTACGTGCTGGCCAGATAGACAATTATTTAGACAGAAAGACATATAGGGCCCTTTCACCCCGCTGGCGTATTGGGTATGTAAGGCCAGACCTATGCTCTCTAGACCAATTGGCACTCGGTTAGTGATATGCCTAACATCACGCCGGCTGCTTTTACTTCTCATGACTTCACCTGGTACACATTTTAAGCTGCGTCAACATGGAAACCGTGTTTTGACAAGAGGAAAAAAAGGGTCGTTTCGAAAGAAAAAGAACAGACCTTATTCGGATTTGAACCCGTGACCTTCGGGCCCTCAGGCAAGCGTCGAGCCGCTACGCCACAGCAGCTCACATTAAACACATAAGCAGTCAATTAAATAGAAAAGTATGTAGAAATACGGTTAGGTAGTTGGTATATAGGTAGGACTGTAGGCAGGTAGACGTTAATGTAGGGAGTAAGCTATCTGTCACATACAAGAAGGTTGAACAACAGATGGTATCTACCTGCAAATAAAGCCAACAGCACAAAGACACGAAACTCTGCCATGGCCGTAATGGAAACACAAATGAGCCTCACTGACAATGTATCACCTATTCTTGTTGGCAACAAAATATTTGATCCCCGCCCACATTTATTCACATTGTAATTTCAACGATTCATAGACGAGAATTCGATGATTGACACACGTTGTAAATAGTCATACTATTGGTTAGATTTAACAAAAGAACATTTTGAATGGTTCAAAGCAATTGTCTTTACAACAAAAGAGGTTCATTTAGTTCAACAAGATGTCTACATAAAACGTGTGCAGTAACAATCGGTTCTGGTATTCCTAAGTAAATTAGCACCGTCTGTATTTCTCCTGTTTCTTTTGTCACGCAAGCGACAGATGTTGCAGAATCGTCATCCAGGTTTGTCCTGACCAGTAAGTCTTTGTCGATAAACATTCCCCATTGTACTAAAGCATAAGTGGAATATACTTGATACGAATACGTGAGGTTCTTTCAAGAATATCAGGTCCTTAAGTTGTCTGTAGCTCATTGTGTGTGAAATCTTTTCAAATGCTTGTTCCTTCCCTATACACAACCATATTATTATTATTTATAATAATCATATTATTAAGCAGGGGACTGCGTGGTCTAGGGGCATGGTTTCCGCCTCGAGTGCGAGAGGTTCCGGGTTCAATCCCCGGTAAGGGTTAGAATTTTTTCAATAGGACCTGGACTTCTAGTAATTCCCCTCTGGTCTCAGAGTGGTGAGATAGGACGCGCGTGTGCATTGGTGCGCACGTAAAAAATACATTAGCATTCAAAAAGAAATCGAAAAGAGTAGCCTAACGTCGCTGCCCGAGAAAAATTTTGAGTTAAAAATCTACCTAAAGTATTTCAGGATCCTCGCCGGTGCTACAGAGCCTGTGCACTGTAATGAGCTTCTTCGGACTTAGATTTGAGTTAGAAAAGAACGGAGCATTTATGGTTTACTACCCGAGTGCCATGATGGTGATCCGTTGTTCAAAACCTAAAATGATTAAGCATATCATGCCCTTATTTTGCATGCAAAGTTGTTATTACTAATTTTCTGAAGTGGGAAGGCATAAAATGGCAATAAGCCCTATTTTAGTGCTCAATAATACGAACAATTTACTTCTAATGGTATTTGGGTAGTGCCTCTGTATACTTTCAACTTGGTTTACCGAGCTCTTAAGATGTGAAAACGTTTGTTCGGTAAAAGAACATTGTTTGGAATACGACCAGCGTACTGGAATTTGCATGAGTCAAAATTAGTCACGACACTTCCCCGTGTGGGTTCCGGGGCCCTATTATAGGGAAAACAAGAATAGACTCACTGCCTACCCAAAAGCATGTCGTAAGAGTCGACTGATTGGAATCTTCCATTGAAGTCGGAGTGCATCTGCCTGAGAGGCGAGGAACCAGCAGTATGCATACAAATTAGTCAGATCTGTAAAACGGATGCACACGCAACACTCAGTTTCTGGAACAGGACTGCAGTCCAGAAGCGGATGAACAACCAGAACTTTCCACCAGAGTTTACAGCTGGTGAACACGAAGAAGATGAAGAAGTCACGACACTGCGTGCTATCTCTGTCGATCTCACTCGAGACAAAGCCGCGGACAAATGTCAATGACTTTGTAGAGAAGTAACACCCCAACAAAGTCCAGACAAGCCGTAACAAAGTTGTCTAGGATGACCAGACACCAGACAATGTCCCATTTCCGAAACATCCTGAGAAGGCAGAGGCAAAGTTCTTTGGACAGATTTTTAGTAAAAGCTAAACCTGATGAGCCTCAACCACTTTTAAGGAACAAAAAGACACACACACACACACACACACACACGAGAGAGAGAGAGAGCGAGAGAGAGAAAGAGAGAGAGAGAAAGAAAGAGACAGAGAAAAAGAGAGAGTGAGAGAGAAAGAGATAGAAAGAGAGAGAGAGAGAAAGAGAGAGATAGAAAGAGAGAGAGAAAAAGAGAGAGATATATATAGAAAGAGAGAGAGAGAGAGAAAGAGAGAAAGAGAGAGAGACGAGAGAGAGAGAGAGAAAGGAGAGAGAACCCCCCCCCCCCCCCACCCCCTTCCCCACTCCCAATAAATCCAATTTTAATTTAAACTGTCATTTATTCAGCTAACTGCTTTTAAAAAAAAATATATATATCTGAACATTAGAAGTCTATGAATTATACAATAACAATCAAAAATAGGATGATTCCTTCTACCTTAATTCATACTGTTTGGTAAATGTACTGTTTGGTATATGTACTGTTTGGTATATGTACCGTTTGGTATACGTACTGTTTGGTATATGTACTCTTTGGTATACGTACCGTTTGGTATACGTACTGTTTGGTATACGTACTGTTTGTTGTACGGACTGTTTAGTATACGTATTGTTTGGTCTACGTACTGTTTGGTTTACGTACTGTTTGGTATATGTACCGTTTGGTATATGTACCGTTTGGTATACGTACCGTTTGATATACGTACTGTTTGTTATACATACTGTTTTGTATAGTACTGTTTGATGTACTTACTGTTTGATATACGTACTGTTTGATTTACGCACTGTTTGGTATAGGTCCATGGATCAGGAACCGATTAAGTACGTAAACCGCGATACGGCTGTATTTGGTACTCAATGTAGCCTGAGTCTGCCGGGGTGCAGACGTCAATTATATATAAAATTCGCATCAGTGTGCATCTGAACCTTGGACTGCCGAGACGAGCAGGTTGATCGAGTCACATTAGGTCACTCAGTCACTCACACACTCACACCCTCACTCAGTCAGTGATTCATTCAATTTCTCCCTCTTTCACAGACTGCCTGGCTGCCTCACCAAGTAACTCAATTTTTTTTCTCCCTTCACATTTAATCACCCATTCAGTCACTCACAGATCAAATGAAACATTCCCCAATGAGCTCACACGGAGCCTTTCTCCAGTTCACTCCTTCCCTACTCGCCAGAATATATTTTTGAAATGTTAGGACAATGGCACATGCATGGAAATACAAAGAAATAAATTATGGCACGCACTGGCCAGGCATCAGCAGCTTTTAAAAGCCTGAACAAAATATCTTCTTCTTCTTCAGCATTCCGAGTCTTGAGGTTCTTCTTCTTCTTCTTCTTCTTCTTCTTCTTCTTCTTCTTCTTCTTCTTCTTCTTCACTTCCTCTTTTACCGCTGTGGGTGTCGAGGGAGATATAAGGTTCTGTTTCTAGCTCTTCTGGCTGCCTCGACCATAGGCACATCGTGCTGTTGTACAGTTTCTCTGATGTTATCCTTCCATCTTGTTCTTGGTCTACATCGTGCTCTACGTCCTTCTTCTCTTTCCATGTATTCTTTGTATGGTATG